GGCGTGTGGTGTTGTAGAAACAACTTGTTAAGCATAGCAAAATTTAAGCATATGCTTCACAGTTTATACAATCAAAGGAAAAATAAGAGTTCAACTGAATAACATCAGGAAATTTCATGAAGAAAGAAGTCCAGTAGTCATAATTTCCCCCACACAATGAAACATTCCAACTTTAGAGGTCAAAGTGATCCAGAACAGCCAATCAGCTTGGTGGGCTGATGGTCCATCCTCCTTGTGATAGGTACCAAATCCTGGGCAATACCATTCTCCCACCCTCAATGAAAGTTTGTAACAACCATCCTATCTGAAGAAAAGAGAAAAGTGAAGCAAAACATACCTCCAGTTCGTTGTAGGACTGCAGTTGCTTCCTGAATCGTTGTTGAGAATCATTAAGCTCTTTTAATAGCTGCTCTTGTAGTACCTGTTCACGTCTTTTTGCAGCCACCAGCTCTTGTTCAGTATACAAGAATTGATCCCGGAACTTTTTACTCTCAGCTTCTACAAATATTACAACTACTTCAGTTCAGACATCATAAGGTGCATCATCAAATCTAGAAAAATTGAAGAACATATACGTTGTGTTCACAATTCAAAAGGACCCAAAAAAAAAAAAAAATGCAGCATACAAGATTTTATTTTATTTAAGAAGAATACAAATCCCAAAAAGATGCAGATTACAGAATGAAAAAAATATATATACATATTTAGGGAAATAACATACCAGCTTTTGACAAATTTTGATTTAAGGCCTCCAGTTTTGATTGATAATCATGGAGTTGCTTCTCTGCAGTGGTTAGAGCATCTACAAAATCTGCTTTCACCTACAACTATCATTTTTCAGTTGCAAGAAAGTAGATTTATGCCTATGGAAACTGAGTATAGCAGCAATCCAGCATCTATTATTATTATTATTATTGTAATTGGGGATTGGCGAACTTACCATTTGGCGGCATTGGTAGGTGCAGAGGAATTGATCGGAGGAGTCCGGCGGAACAGGAGGAGGATTGTGGTCGTAGATAACGAGGCGTCGATCGGAGGGCGGAGGGGGGCTCTCAGCAGCTATGGCTTCGCCTCTCCGCTTCTTGGGCGGTGGAGTCCTCAGTATCATCTTCTCGCTTGTCTCAATAGAACAGAATCTTCAGTTCGCTGCTCAATTTTATTATGTGGGCACTGGGCAGGCCAGAATGAGGGTTTAATTTCAAGGGGAAGTCGCCATTTTGCCTTTTGCTTTAACCATGGCGGAACCAGAGACTAGCTTAAACGCAATGCAATGGAATTTTACGTTTTTAATATGGTGTTTATTTTATGTTATTTTAATATTTTATGGGATTGATTGATGTATTATAGTGTTTGTTGTTTATTAAAAAATTAATTTATTTGATGAATTTATTTATTATAGTGTTTGTTGTTTATTAAAAAATAATTTATTTCATGAATTTATTAAAATATATTAAATAAAAATAATTTTATTAAGGTATTTTAATAAATTTATATGATAAATTATATTTTTATAATCCACTTTTTGTTTTTTTTATTTGTGTCTAATTAATTTAATTTTTTA